TGATATCGCAGCCATCTTTCTGCCTGGGCCCACTTATTTTCCCTTTCCATTGTTACGCTGGCGCCCACCTCACATCCATTGTTGGGGGAGGAATGGAAATCCGACGGCGGAGAGGAGGAATTAGCAAGTGGGCTAAGGAGACCCGCCGGGCAAGAGTTGAACAAGCAAGCCCGCGAAGAACATGGTGCGACTGATCAACGGAAATCTACGGACGCAAACGCTGCTTGCACAATAAGCTTCTCAAGTGGGTTCCAAACAATTCCCTCAGCCGCGTTGGTTCTGTATTGGGAGCAAACAAACTCTCCAGTTTCTCAGGCGTGACGGCACGCTTATTTGGAAACAAGCGCAATGGATTTAGCGGACCTTTCTTCTAGGTCAGTGTTTCTCACGCTCAGCAACTTTAAGATGGGTGGACTTCAACGCCCAGAATTCCCTAGCCACACATGCTGGCTGGGGAATTCTGGGAGTTGAAGTCCACCCATTTTAAAGTTGACAAAGTTGGGAAACCCTGCACTAGAGGGTGATAGCTTTAAAAAGGTGTGTGTCAGATCATCTCGGGATCCGCTTTCACCGTCCTGTTTCCCTAATTTGACATAGCACCCTGTAAACCCATCTTTGTTTCTATATGAAGCGGGGCTTTCTATAGTATCTTTCATATTATCCGGAAGTGAAAAATGTTTTCCAGATTAGTAAAACCGCTGGCAGCTGCAGGTAAAAAGAGATGCGATAGCTCCGGGACTCTCCCAGGGTTTCCGCAGCCTTGTGCGAAGGGCTGTTCAGCTGTTTGCTGTAATAGCAACCGCAGGCATATTTAATGTAAATGCGGCTATGCAATATGCATTATACTTCGTGTAAGTAATAGTCTGTCCTAAGCACATCCGCCTTTGAATGAGATTACTTATTTTGCTGACTTTAGGAAATGCACAAATATTCAGAAAAAAAAAGGATGCGATGCTCGATCTGGTTTAAACAATAACATCACGTCACCGTTTCGGAATCGAGAACGCTTTATCTTTAAATGAGAACTAAAACGACCATAGCAACGGCTGTTACATTCCTGAAGAATAAAAATAAGAACGATTTTATCGGCTGGCTCGTTGGTCTAGGGGTATGATTCTCGCTTAGGGTGCGAGAGGTCCCGGGTTCAAATCCCGGACGAGCCCTACGTTTTATCATTTCTTTCCATAATTCCAGGATTTTTAAAAAACATATTAACTATTTTGCAAGAGCTATTCTTTCCGCCCCCTCCAGAACTTTAGAAAACGTTGCAGCAGGATTTATTGACACCAGTTGTTATGCAATTCATTCGCCAGCGATGTTGCATTATGAATATATAGACCTTCCACTCTTTTTGTTGTTGACCGTTCCACAACTTTAAGAATGAAAAAGAAAGCCTATTCGTTTCCCTTTCTGCTGCTTTCCTACACACAAAATAATTTTAATAATTTGTGATGATGAATAATAAAAACGGTTTTGTCACGAAGGCCAAAGTATAAACGCAACTGGTCTTTGCGGCAGTTGATATAAATGTGAAACAAAATATAGATTAATTTATATGAAATTCCAAATGTAGCTCTGGTATACTGTTAATCCCCTCTACTCGACTTTGGGGAGGTTATGTACTTACAACTTTGGGCATCCTGTACTTGCTGAACTCGATTTAAGGTTTTGTTGAAAGGTTCTGAAAAATGTAAAAGCAGCTTCACTCCCCCCCAAAATACGAAGGAAATTAAACTAGTTCCTTCGATTACGGGCTCGTCCGGGATTTGAACCCGGGACCTCTCGCACCCGAAGCGAGAATCATACCCCTAGACCAACGAGCCGCTCTTAGCAAAAAGCTTCTCAGCTCACTTCTTCACTTTTATCCCGCCCCTATTGTACTGCGCAAGTTCCCAACTGTTGGCTGCTTTATTAATCCTACGTCCCTTCTTTTTGAAAAATGGTTCCGTCCACAGTCCTGGCCGTGCCGTTTAAATCCGCTTCTCGCCTTCTTTAAAAGATCTGACGTTATCGCCTCCCCCCCTAATAGACAGCGTTTTTCGTTCAAACTCCGCCCCTGAAGGGAAGACGCTTTTGCCTGCTCGGAGGAAGGCTATACCACTCTGCTCGTGGTGAGGGGGAATTTATTTCCTTGTTTCTTCATAAACTCTCTGACTTGGTATAAATGTGGGATACGGCTCTATTCGTTTCTATTGAAACGAGCATCTTTATGAAGTTTATTTCGGTACGGCGTTTTGTAATCCTTTTCCTTCCTTCCATGTGCTCTTGAACTCATTTCGGTGAAGCCCTCTCCACCTGATTAGCCTTTTCTCCTTAAATAATTAAGTTGCCAACTTCTGCTTCCTCTCTCTGTGAGGCTCCTGTGCCTCTAACAGGCATCGTCAATAAGTAAAAGATCCTGAAAAAAAAGTTGATTTCTGGCCTTTTGGGGAGTTTTCTAAAGACAGAGTACCCGGAGGGGTGCAAAGAGGACCCAGTTAGACAAATGGCACCTGAGAGGGTGGAATATAAATGCCTAACGTTCCTCTCTTTTATCTTTTCCAGTCTGCAAGAAGCATCTAAAATAGCATTTCATTCATTTATTCTGAATGCAGATTAATTTTTCCACAAAGCTCTGTTTTCATTGGTTTTGATGGTCTGTAGAATGCATAAGATAGGGCCCATATCTGGTCAGCACTGTAGCCCAGATATAGTAGGCCTAATATATGAACAGAAAGGTGAATGTCATTGATACACATTTGTTTTACCCTGTTTTATAGCAAACCTCTCCTTTTACTCAGGGCTCTCCATCAGCATTCTCCAATCGCCTGTTTTCCAGATAGCTTGAACCAATTTCAATAAACACCACCTAAATTGCAGTTTCTGAGAATTGTTGTCTAACATCTTTAGAGGGCAGCATTGCTGGTGATGTACTCATATACTTGGGAAAATGATAGTGTTACCTGGAATTTTAGGCTTCATTATTAGCATTTTAAAGGTGATATTAACATGTTTAGCATGACAATCTATGCCTTTTTTTAACTTTAGGAAATCAGTTTTTTTCCTTTCAGCCAAATGCCACTTCCTTTGAAGGGAAAAAAAATTAGCCTTTTCAGAAACTAAACAATAGGAGTGTATTCTTAAGGCCTTGAATACATTTGCAAATGTTAAGGAAGAAACAAACTGGGGTGAGAGAGGGATGTAACCCATAAATTTGCCACTTTAGGCATGTTACCTAGGATCAATGTCTTCTGTTGTTTGACTGGTTGCTTAATGACGCATCTATCACAAATATCACATTTATGTAATTCTGTATAAAGACTTGACCCCCCCCCCTTAATAAATGCTTTTTGCTTTGCCTGAAGTACTTGTGGTTTGTATGTGGGGGGGCACTTTGCATTTCTCTCCCAAATTCAGGAACTAGATTCTTTCCAGTTCCACAGCATTTGGGTGCCTGAGGCAACAATTGTTTTCTTCAGTTTCAAAGGATACAGTAGTTTCTGTCCCATTACAGCTGTTAACATAAACCCCCTAGATTTTTTGTGTTATTTATTAATCACATTTAATCAATAAGAAATGATGGTATAAAATGCCATGCTTGCTTTTCACACATTTAAACTCTTACTGAATGATCATGTAGTATACTTTTTAAATGTCATAGTCATTTAATCTCAGTATGTATTTTTAGATAAACCTACCTGCTGAGAACACTTCATTTATTTGATGAAGGACTCTAGTTGGTAAGAGACTGTTTGTTGGCCTTTAAGGTACTACAAGTTTCTGTTGTTTTTGCTGCAGAATTTATTAATTTAGTTGAAACACAGATGCCAGAGACATGTCCTTGGTAAATAATTCACTGACTCTTTACCAAAACCAGGTTGTTCAAATGAGATATGGGAAGAAAACATAGTTCAGAGACATAATCATAGCACTGAATTCAAAACTGGATGTAGAATAGGTGGGTATTCCATAAAATATTTCCATCAAAACATTACAATATTACACTTCCTTATATTTTGGTAGCTACGCAAATGAATTAAAATCCAAAGATAGCTGCATGGAAACTGGCAACAACTATGAGCATTGTAGTTCAGTGCTCTGGAGTGCAATAGATTGTGGAAACCTAATCAATAAAGTGCTTATCTCAGTCAATATATTAGGGTAGGCAATCAGCTCCATAGGTATGTATGGGTGAGTGTGTAAGTATGGGTGTGTGTGGGTATGTATAAAATTTAAACACAAGAATAAGACTAATACAAGCTAAAATACAGCAAAAAAGAAAAGGAAAACAAAAGAAAAATACAAAAAGAAAAAGAGTAGCAGAAAAATAGAAAAAAGATTTAAAAAGTGGCTTCCAATCTTCTTTACAGCAGTTATAAGTACAATTATAAATTGACCTCTCTCTCTCTAAAGTTACATTGTGACTCTCTTCTTTCTATAATCTATCCTATCTAATCATCAAAACCATGCTTCAAGTTCATTTTTTTCTTTTTTTATGCAGAGTCCATAAGGGGTTTCCAGTCACCAATAAATGTAGATAATGTCTTATTTTCTAATCAAACAAGTCAATTTGGCTATTTCGGTGAGTTCTGCCATCTTTACCAACCATTCCTCTGTTGTAGGTATTGCCAAATCTTTCCATCATTGTGCATATAATAATCTCACTGCAGTTATCATATATAAAAACAATGTTCCATGACTTTTTTCCAACTGTTTATCCATCAATTCCAAAAGGAAATGTTCTGGTTTCAGTTGAATGTTAATCTTTAAAATCCTCTGAATCATTGTACGTAGTTGAACCCAAAATTGTCTAGCTTTTTTGCACGTCCACCAAGCATGATAAAATGACCCTTCTTGTTCACATTTATAACAAATTTGAAGTACCTTTATACATTCTAGGTATTTTTTCTGGTGTCATATACCAACGGTATATCATTTTATAAAAATTCTCTTTAAGATTATAACATAGTGTAAATTTTAGTCCTTTCAACCACATATTTTCCCATTGTTCCATCTGTATATATAACCAAAGTTTTTAGCCCACTTTATCATACGTTCCTTAACTTGTTCCTCTTCTATTTCAAATTTCAAGTTTATACATTTTAGCAATCACATGTTCATCATTTGTACACAATTCTGTTTCAAAATCA